TCATAACAAGTTGGTGGACCTCCTCCCCCCTGTACAGTATCAAGGAGAAGGAAATTCAGAAAAGGTGCTCAGTACCCTCAGAGGGACTGGCAGGTCTTTATGGAAAGTATCTGTAGGAGAGTAGAATTATTTTCAGTCCACTATGGCTGCTACAGATCCTTGGCTTGGCACATACAGGCTAGGGAGTTTTGCTATGGGGAACATTGTTTACAACTTTTCTCCTTCTTTTTCAGTACTGGGGGCCGAACCTGGAACCTTGCACATGTCAAGGGGGTGCTTTGCTAACTGAGCTATGTCCCCAACTTTCTGCCCCCTTTCATAAATTTTTTGTAGCAATCAGAGATCTCCATCACTGACTATCATTATACCCAGGTGAGGCCTCTCGCTTCCCTTCTGCCCCATGCACATGGCCAGCACACTCCCATGGAGAACTATCTGTAGATGTCCTTTTTCTCGAGTGGACAGGGATTGGGGCTTGCACGCTTTGGACATAACCATTTTGGACTCTTGAGAGCCTCTCTTCTCCCAGCCTTTCCATTGAGAATTTTTGTTTTAAAGAATGCACTTCCAGAACCTGAATTCTGTACAAGGAAGCAGCCCTTACTGCCAGAACCAAGTACCTGGGGGAGAAGCCTGTCTCCTGTTCCCATTGTGTGGATTGTCTTTCCTGTTGTCAATAACTAGCCTTTTTGTAAACAGGCTTTCTGGGTAGGATTGGGCATGTGGTGGGTAAGGCCAGCCATGTCTTGTTCTCTTTCAAGATTCCAAGAAGAGAAAGATGAAAAGCACTTCCTTACACACTCCCTAGTAAGGAGATCTACTGGGGGGGGGGGGCGGAGAGGGGGGAGCTGGCATCTGCATATATGTGCTGTGCTCTCCTGCCTCCTCAGAGCTGAGTGTCAAGATTATACATGCTAGTGCTGTCTCCTTGTTTAACCCACCCTGGCATTCCCACCTCGCAGGATTACAAAGGTCCTGTTCTCAGAACATCAGAGCTAAACCCTTCACCCACCTGTCCTTCAAGCTCCTTTCCCACGCTCCTCTGCTTGGCCTGTCTTTATATTCTTCACCTCTGCCTTCATTTTTGTCCTTGTGCCTGTCTGAATCTAGAGCTGCCTATTTACGGGAGAGGACTTTCAGATGCTGGCCCAGGGCCCTCCAGAAGTACTGTTTCATACCAGCATTTGTTTGTAGTTTTTATATATGATTGTGCTGTCGTTCTGTGTTAAGCTAATGGATCAATGGACTTGTTTACAATATGATATTTTCTATTAAATTTAATATTTTCAAGTAAAAAAGAGAAGTCTTTATTGTTTACTGTGGGAAGGATGGGCATAGGGAAATCTGTATGTTTTGTAGACTTCCTGGAGCTATTTTGAGTTGTTTATGTTCTGTCTTGAGGAGTTTCCTTGCTGGATAGAATGTTTCAACCCCAGAGGAAAAGGCTTGATATTGATGAAAGTAGAACACTGTTTAATTGTTTGGGATTTAGGCGTATTATTACATTCAGGGGCAGAGGAGGCAGTGCATATGGGGGAAAAAAGATTTTTTTAAGGCAGGCCTTAATGTAACCTATGCTGGCCTCCAGTGAAACTTGATAGGTAGCTAAGGGTGACCTTGAACTCCTGAGGAGCCTGCAACCACCTCTCAAGTGCTAGAATTATAGTTTTCCACCACTACACTTCAGTGTTTTGTTGAAACCTTTTTGAGTATCTCAGAATGTATTTTTCTTTGCTTCTGTGGAAGATAGGACAGTCATTCTTCCATTAAATTGAAGTTGAATTTAGTGCCCTTGACAGCCCTTTTCTGAATCGGTGTTATCTAGAGATGCAATTCTCCCCACAGAAGGCAAGGTCTGATTTTTTGACCACTTTGTATTATCTATACCATTTCACAAAAATCAAATCTAAAAGGTCAAGTCTACCCCTGACCCCTAGGTCTAGAGATCAAACTTGCAGTCATTGCATATGCTTGACAAGTATCTACCACTGAGTTACATCCAAACCAACATCCAAAGCTTATGTTTTTCTGAATTTTTATTAAATATAAGTGAACATTATGACTGGGGTTTTAGTCCACAAACACGAAATTAAACTTTGCCTAGTTAGTGCAGACAACTTTTAAAATGTAGAAGGTAAGAACATAATAATATTTCAGAAATAGTAATATTGTATCTTCCCTGAACTTATGATTTAAAACTTTTATTATGATGGATCTTTGCAATTCACCCCTTTGATGTCCTTTCTACAAAACCTTTGAAGTCATTTTTAGAGGTTTAAATAAAGTTCATGATAGTAAAGGAGAGAATGCTTGTTTTCTGTTTTTTAGTAAGTATCTAGGCACTTCATTTCTTATAGACAAATTCTATGTTAGGACAGTGATCATTTGGGTTTTATCATTTAAGCAAATTTTAAGGGAAAATTAGTTAAGTCTTTTTTCAAACTCTAAAATATATAAGCAAATACATAGTTTTATTTCTTGTTACTAATGGCTCATGAATAGGCCCAGTGAAAGGAAGTGTTGCCATGGCAACAGAAGCCTGGCTGTTATTTGAAACTCTACTCAGGATACTTAAGTGTCCTGAGACTGCAAGTTCTTAGCTTTTACAATGTGCTGCTTCAAGGAAATAGCTTTTCTACTGTGATCAAAAACAATTTTCAGTCTTCTCACTATAGAATTTGAAAACAAAACTTGAACCAAACACTTAGTAGCAAGTATTCCTGGAATGCCAAAGTAGAATATGGGTAGTTACTGATAGAATCGTATTGGTCAGTGTATGAAAAATTACTTACGTATACGAAACCTAATTGGAGCAAAAGACACAAGTGCTGACATTTAGTTTTATTTCCCAGTTGTCAAAATATGTCTGTCATTTTATCTAAATGACTTATTTTATCTGTCTTAGCTTGTTTTTTGGTTTGGTTTGGTTTGGTTTGGTTTTTCAAGACAGTGTTTCCCTGTGTAGCCCTGGCTGTCCTGGAACTCACTCTGTAGATCAGGCTGGCTTTGAACTCAGAAATCCACCTGCCTCTGCCTCCCAAGTGCTGGGATTAAAGGCGTGCGCCACCACCGCCTGGCCCTGTGTTAGCTTTTAATACTTAATCTACATCTTCATTTGAAAATCTTAAGATTTCTTGGAGAAACTCCTCTGCTGCTTGGTTTTTTGTTACTTTTGTTTGTTAGGTTTTTGAGACAGGACTCACACATACTCACAGGCATAAACAGACAGATACAGACACAAATTATTTAGTGTTGGCTGAGAGAACCGGCTGGCCTTAAACTTAAAACAATACTACTGCCGCTGCCTCCAAAGTACTTGGCTTACACCACTCTTGGCCCTCTTGCTTACTCTTGTTTCTGTGGTACCTTGCCACTGAATACCAGAGATAGCTCATCTGATAACCCAGCCCATTTCCCCCTGTGTGACTGTGTTAAAAGACTCAGTTTACTTTTTTTCTGCATGTCTCTGTTGCCAGGGTGTTTAAAACTGTTCTGTTCTCAGTGACTGGACTTTTCCACAGATAAGCAGCTTTCTTCCACAAATTAGTTCTATACTTTACCGTTTATCACCTAACCTTTTTTAAAACTTTAGTTCCATTCTTATTGTTGGTATTATTGAATTCCCCTTCAATAAACACCCTATGCCAATTTCAGAATAACAAGTTAATGTTCATTTATTTTTAGCCATGTCACTTAGCTGTAAATTACTTTATTTGGATCTTATTACAATTCACTGAAATGACCTTGGACCTTCATTTTATGGATAAAATGTGAGAGGTTTGACTTTCAGAATCAACAAATAATGATGAGTATCTTATGTTTTTTGTTTGTTTGTTTGTTGTTTTGTTTTTTTGAGACAGGGTTTCTCTGGCTGTCCTGGAACTCACTCTGTAGAGGAGGCTGACCTCAAACTCAGAAATCCTCCTCCCTCTGCCTCCCAAGTGCTGGGATTAAAGGCGTGCGCCACCACTGCCCGGTGTATCTTAGGTTTTTAAGAAGAAAAAAAAAAAAAACCTCCATATTGTGTGTGTGAGTATGTATACCTGTGTGTGAGTGCCATTGGAGGTCAGAGGATATTAGTCCCTGTGTTAGTTTGTAGATGTAAGCCTTCTGATAATAGGTTTTGGGACCTAAACTTAGGTTTCTGCAAGTACAGTACAATGTACTATTAATTGCTGAAACCATCTCTCCAGCCCCAGATCTTAGTTTTTAAACTTGTGGAATAATAATTTTTCATTATGCCATTTTATAAAAATGAAACAGTATTCAAAGATAAAAGATTTCACTAGTTACCTGATATTGCTGTGACTGAGAATGTAGAAAATGGAAGCAATGTGGAGATAACATCATACATGGAGTTATGCAAGGAAGGAGTGTGAGGAGAAAGGAAATAAGTAAATTTAATTGTTTTCCAGAGAGTTACTAATGTAGGTAGTTATGAAGTATAATTTAAATTCTTTTTTCCCCTTTTGCTGGCCCTCTCCTGTATAACTTAAATTCTATGCTGTTTGCAATATAAAACAAATAGGGTCAGGGTGATGACTTGGAAGGTAGAAACACTTGCTGCTAAGGACAAGGAGCCTGACTTTGAGTTCTTAGATCCACACAGTAAAAAGAGAACAAATACATGCATGTTTTCCTCTGAACCCCGATTCATGACCTGTCTCTCCCCTATAGATAAATAAATAAATTTTAAGCCTGGGAATAAATAAGTTTCAACCTCTCTCATCTTGGGTTAGAACAAGTTTTATTAATTCATGGTGACTGAAATCAGTCATACCAGGCTCACTTCCACTTTCTAGGTGGATTGTGGAAGCTGGTGTAAGCATTGCTGCAGATGCGTGCTAGGCAGGCACTCTCCCACTGGGCTACATTCTGGCCTTCACTTCAGCTTTGGTTTGGACTCAGCAAGTGGGAGGGAGGTTTCCTCCATACACTTGTCAGAGCAGTTGGATGATAGATAGTTCTAAGCTACTAATTCTTGAACAACTTTTCCCTAGGTTAATGGAAAAGGATCCTTATGGTGTGTTGATCCAGAATATAAGCCCAATCTTATGCAGGCCTTGAAAAAGCAACCTTTTTCTTCTCCACAAAGGTAAGGGCCCTCTATGTGATTTAGATTTATTATGTGTGCTGGAGAAAACAAAGTTGTAGGGTTTTGTTTTATTTGTGTGTTTATCTAATTGTATAGAGAAGTATTTACTGATAACATTAACCTAAGATATTTTTCTCTTGGTTAATTCTTTCTAGAAAATAAAATGCTGGGTAGTTGAATATAAATTCTCAGAAAATAAGTCAGTGCAATATAACTAAGCTAAATAAATTGTATGACTTCAGTTGCAAAATCAACTCATTTTAATTGCTTGCATGCTGACGTTGACATAATAAAATGCATATTTAAAATTTTTGAATAAGATGATTCATCACATTTGTAACTATATTTTGTAAGAGTCCATGATTCTCTGAAGAATGATACCCAGACTCAAATAGTATACAAAAGCAGAGTGTTCTATTCTATAGACATCCAGCATACTGGGATCTACCATTTACCAAGATAGACACACTCAAGTGAGCTCATGGGCTCAATTTAAAGCACATTAGGGAAATTCCAGGGAGGGGTAGGTGACGTTTATCTTAATTGATTGGCTCTGTATCTAGAACATACCAGAACCATTGCTAGGAGGCACTGGAAACTGTTGCTGACCCTTTGCCCTTGCCTCAGACCAGGTGGTGCAGCTTCTGATGGTGGAGCAGTTTCTGGTTAGCTGCCCAAGGCCTGGGTTTTTTCTGGTAACCCACTTGCCTGGACTTGCCCAAGTCCTAGAAATAGCTTATCTAGGCCTAGTCTCCTGACCTGCCAGTTTGAAGCCTGTCCTGGAGTCAGCCTGTCTCAGTCCTCTCACTATTGCCTAAATCATTCCCCCTTCATTTCAGTAATGGGCCATCTTGAATCCTTGAAATGTTTCTATGGGCTGATGTTGTTGTCTGAGAACTGTTGTCAGCAAACAGATTGATTCCTTAACAAACCTAATTAAAGCATTGGTTATGTAGGGATCATAAGTCAAGGCCAGCATCAGTAGGACAAGGGGACCAACCTAGTTGGGGCAGAGACAAGGATAGTCAGCCAAGGAGACCAGTTGAAGAGGAACTCATACGAACCCTGAGACTGTTTTTTTGTTTTGTTTTATTTGTTTTTGTCTTGTACTCTCTGACTAAGGCTGTGGATTCTTTGACCATCCCTGAGTGGTCAGCATAAAAACAACATTCCTTACCTAAGGTTGCATAGAGTCCTCCCTGCTGGAGAAACAGCAAGTCTAGGCCTCTTCTGTTTTATAAGACTATTTCTTCCAGGGAGGAGAGGGAATCCTGCAGGGCCATGATGGACTTTTCCATCTCCTGTATATCTGCATCTATAGCCATCCATAGGGCCTTGTCATTTTTATCCTGAATTATTAGGGCTGAGGCCCCTACACGAGCAACTCCTGCCAGCTCTATGCCAAGGAGAGAACCTAGTAACGCAGTGGAAATGGCCACTCTTTTTACCTGATTGTTTGAAAGCAGTTGGTTTGGTGAAGTGGGACCTCAATGGGGCAAAAGAGTGGAGGGTCCTGATGAGGGAGCAGTGGTGGACTGAGGCAGAGGTTGGGGGTTGGTTAGCTAGTCCTTGTTGGGGCCTAAGGGGACCATGGGTCTTAAGAGGCTACCTTAGAGCAATTAGACAGTATAAGAGTCCCAGATCATAGGCAGAGATGTAAAGTCTTAGTCCCCATGTCTTATGATAGTCCAATCAGCCTTCTAGCCAGCTGCTGTGAACTTGATGACAAGCTGTTGCATCGCCCCCTGGGGCACTCAGTTAGTAAAGGGGCTCAAAACAAAGCCCACAAGTCTCTTTCCTAAGAGGCTAGATATCCTTTCTTATGAAGCCTGAAGTGTCTGTGTATCCCCAAACCAGGTCACAGTGATGAGGTCATCTTTGATGGGCAGCTAGTGGCTGGTGCAGCAAAGCACCTGAGTGGTTCTTAGCCTGGCAGATGGGGAAGTGTGATCAATTAAGTGTTCTAAGTCATATATTTTGTACCATGCCCCTTGCAGCATTTTTTTCAGTTTTCAGTGACCTGGGTGTCAATGAAACTTGATGAATCTGATGGATGAGTTGCTTAGCAAACTCCTTAGGTAGGGTGGTGCCTTCAGAGGTCGGCAACCATCAGTCTCTTCTGTAAAGTCTTGGCGTTTCACCTCATCTCGATTGTCTTCAGTAGTATATTCAGGGATGGCTGGGAGCACAGGGGGCATTAAAGCTTAGCAGGATGTTGATGGTGGAAGCTTGGGTGGCCTCCCTTGAGCTATTTCTGCTGTCCCATTCTGATACCTGGGGCAATGAATTATGTCCACTTTGAGAGGAAGCCATAATGCCTTCAATAAAGCAAGTATTTCTTCCTTATTTTTGATGGTTTTTCCTTCAGCAATCAATAATCTCCTCTCTGTATATGGACCAATGTACATGAGCTGTAGCAAAGGCATATCAGTAGATATGCTGTCATTGTAGATGTTACTTATGGCCCCTTTTGCCAGCTTTAAAGTCTAGGTTAGAGCCTTTACTTTAGCTTTCTGGGCTGAAGTTCCTGGCAGCAAAGCAGTTGTCCAGATAACAGAGTCCAAGTCCACCACTGCTGCCCCTGCATACCTGATTCCATTCTGAATGAAGCTATTCCCGTCCGTGAAGTAGATACATATTATCTGCATCTAGCCGAGGTATGTCAGTCAAGTCCAGGCTGATGTTTTGGATGTCCCTCAGAACTATAGAGCAATCATGCTGTATGTCCGAGGATGGGTCAAGTAGCAGGGTGGCTGGGTTTAGGGCAGATGATGAGTTATCTTGTGTGAGAAGGATTCAGAAGTAGAGCCTGAAATGCATCAGTCTAACATGAGTCAGCTATCACCTGGGTGAATTCTTGAGGGTTCCCTAAATAGCATAGGGGTAGTGATAACAAGTCCTGTCCCACAGTTGTTTTGTTCTTGTCCTTGACTAGCAGGGCAGTGCCAGCTATAATCTGGAGGCAGGCTGGCTGTCCTTAGGCCACCAGGTCCAGCTTCTTAGATGAATAAGCCATAGGTCTTTTCCGTGGTCCCAAGGTTTGAGTGAGCACCCTCTTTGCTATGTCCTTTCTCTCAACCACATTCAGGTGGAAAGGTTTGTGAATGTCTGGGAGGGCTGGGGCTGGGGCCTGCAATAGGCTCTAGTAGGTGGGTCTGATTTCAAGGCTAGCCTGGTGTAAGAGTAGTTCTAAGACAGCCAAGGCTACACAGAGAAACCCTGTCTTGAAAAAAAAATTAAGTTGAAGTTTAAAAATTTAAATGTTAAGTAAAATAATGCTTTAAATGTTTTTTATGTTGTCGTTTTCTGAAAACTTTTTTAATAATGTATTTTCTTTTTTTTTTCTTTTTTTCTTTTTTTGGTTTTGTTTTTTGTTTTTTTGGCTTTTTTCGAGACAGGGTTTCTCTGTGTAGCCCTGGCTGTCCTGGAACTCACTCTGTAGACCAGGCTGGCCTCGAACTCAAGAGATCCATTTCCCTCTGCCTCCCAAGTGCTGGGATTAAAGGCGTGCACCACCACCTCCCGGCATGTATTTTCTTACAACTTCCTCTGGCTTTAGATTTTTTTATTTTCTCAGACTTAACATCTGGACCTTATGATCTCCCCAAATCAAATTTTTTTTTTCTTTTTCCTAAGGAAACCTTAAGAATGTTAAAATTCTGGTGTGTGTGTGTGTGTACACATACATACATATACATATACATATATATATGTTGGAATGTGCCTTATTAAGATAAACTTAATGGTTGTCTTTGATGCTTAGTTCATTTTTTTCGAAGGTCCGAAAGATTATTAATTTTTAAATATATAATAGGGAGAAAACTAAAATGAAAACTTACTGCAACAAATTAAGAATTTCCTACTGTAGTAGTTCATTTGAATTCTTGAGAATCATTAATGAAAGGAAGTAAACAAGTAAAGAAAAGTAGTAAACAATCAAAGTAAAGTTGACGTGTCAGCAGCATCACCTCTGAATGTTCTGTCATCGTCATACAAGGAAGCAGGAGGAAGGGTGGCCTTCTAAAACAAAGGCTGTAACGATGGTTGGAGCCAGGAGTGGTATTGTACACCTTTAATTCCAGAACTCAAGAGGCAAAGGGAGGCAGATCTGTGAGTTCAAGGGCAACCTGGTCTATTTGATAAAAACTTGTCTCAAAAAAACAAAAACCAAAGAGAGAAAGAGATCAGGGGTTTGGAAATTGATTTCTTCTTCTTAGTTAATATTGGTGTTTGTGTGCTAAAGGAAATATCTTTAATGCTTACTTATATGATTTATTTAGCTATGCTCTTAATTAAAGATAAAGTGGGGCACTGATGATACTGTTCATGAACCATCACGCGTATACCTCACTGTCTTCATCTAATCACATTGGCTCTTCAGCTTTATCACTATAATGCATTTTATTAAATATATCAATGCAAATTAACAAGAAATAATAATCTTTCTGACTTTTGAAAAAACAAACTTTAGGTATTAAACAAAAGGGATTTTTGCCTTTTTTTTTTTTAAAGGAGGTTACAAAACAGCATGGGCGTTATTACTTATTGACTTTAAAACAATAAAATGAAAGCATTTTATTCCATTTTGTTATTTCCTTCTGACATGCTTTTTTGTAACCCTCATAATTTGTAAGTATGAAAAAAAGAATGAAGTTTATGTAAAAATCTGTGAATATAAATTAATTTTATTTTAAAAGATTATTCTCTACAATCACAAAAAGAATCCCCTGCCACCTAAAAGTCTTAATTTTTATACTAAAAAATTCTTGGAATTTAACTCGTATTAAGTGTTATGCCAAGTTTAAATATGTAATATAAAACCAAATTTTTATTTATTGTTCAAGGCATTTAAAATACATTATTATGTAATTGATACAAAAATACTATGTGAGAGAACGTATTTGTCTTAATAATGACCAGATGATTTTGAGTCTTGACCTGTATACACTTTGTGCTTGAGCACACTCTTTCTAACACAAGTGCTGTTAGCAAAGGCAGCAAGGTGAACATTACTGGTGGTTTGCATGCTATGTATGAGATGTATTTGTGGCTAGGTTCTGTAGGAAATGAAATGATGTTTACTAAGCACATCTATCTTCTCTTCTGTTTTCAGTGCTTCTTCATCGCCTCACTACTTCAGCTCTGTTCTCAAGCAGAGTCAAGCGCAAACTCTTAAAGGTATGTATGAGCCGTCCTGTTGGGTCAGGAAGCATATGCTAAGATCTGGCAGTTTAGACTTTGTTCTAATTGTAGGTAGATTAAGAAATAGATTTCTAGAGAAAAAGTAAAAGTCATCTTTTAACGATACTTGGTATGAGGTATACATGTTTTTTTCCTCCAGTGACTTATAATGTACAGGCATTTTATGCCTCCTTCATTGGTTTTATTTTTTCCTTGAACGCAGCATTTAATTTCTTAGTAATATCATTGGAGTTACTTTTTCCTATTGTTATGTAGCCCGTGATAGCGTTACATTCATATATATATATATACACACATATTACTCCTTTGATTTTGCCAACTGGTTTTAATCATAAAATACTTGTGACCCTGTGTTAAAGAATTTTACCATCCCTTAGATTTGAATATAGTTCAGGATATTTTTTACAGGTTAAGACTAAAGGGCTTTAATTTGGTCTAATAAATTGACTTCTTTTCAAGGAGTTTTGGGATTCTTGCCCCCTACTTTAATTTTTATGGCATTTTCATACTTAGTGGGTTCTGGCTGATCTTCCCTAACCCTTCTGTCCACCATTGTCCCTGTCCCCACCTAACTCTTCCATTTCCAGTGCTCTTCCTTCTTTTTTGTTTTTGTTGGTTAATTTTGTTGTTTGTTTGTTTGTTTGTTTGTGAGAGACAACCTGTGTAACTTTTGCTGACTTGGAACTCTTAGGCAGACATGCTAACTCCAGACTCACAGAGATCCACCGGATCCTGACCCCTAAGTGCTAGGGTTACAGGCTGTGTCACCACACCTGCTTATCCACCTTCATGTTGATGTCACATGTGTTTATTACCCTCTCTGTCACTCTCCCTTTTCGTGGGGCCATTACCAATGTCCCCACGCCTACACTACCTTCAGTTCTCACCTGGACACTCATAGGTGACAGTTCGAGGCTGAGCTCCATATGGGAGAGAGCATCTTTGTCTTTGTGGGCCAGGATTACCTCACTGTTCCTTTACTGCTAAGTAAAATTCTGTTGTGTATTTGTAAGTTTTCAGTATCCATTCATCTGCCTGTGGACATCTAGCTAATGGTATTGCTTTGCTATTGTGAATACATCAGTAATGAACTTATAGATGTACAAGTATCTCAGTAGTCAGATACCTCCTTTGAGTGTATATCCAAGAGTGTTATAGCTGGACATACAAATCTCTACCTTTATTCTTTTGGGAAATTTCCACACTGATTTTCATAGTAGTTGCAGGGGTGAATAAAGGTGACCCTTTTTCCATGGTAACCACTTGTCATTTGTTTTCTTGATGGCAGCCACTCTGACAGTGTTGAGATGGAATCTCAGAGGCTTTTTTAAAAACACAAAACTAACAGTCTCATACAGTCCAGTATGAGACTGGCCTCTTAATTTGTTATGACCTTGAACTTCTACTTCCATCTCCAGAATATTGGCCTAAGAGGCACGCACCACCATGCCAGCTTTATGTTGTGCTGAGGATGAATCCAGGGCTTCATTCATGCTAGGTAAATACTGTACCAAGGCTACATTCCCAGCCTTCCTTGCTAAGTTTTTTGATTTGGTTGTTTACCACATAATGTTAAGTCCTTTGGATATACTACAAACGAATTCTCCTTCCTGTAAGGCTGGGAAAGGTCCGTAGAAAGCAGTTTGATTTGTATAGTTCCCATTTGTCTATTGTTGGTCCTACTTCCTTTGTGACTGTCCTTATCAGAAAGTCCTTATCTATGCATATATCTCCAGGAGTTTGTCCCACTGTTTACTCTAGCAACACCAGAATTGAGGAAGTTCTTTTGAGTTGTAAAAACAAATCCAGAAATGTATTGTTCTTTTCTTGAAGTGCTGAGGGTCAAAGCCTTGTCCAGGTTAGCAGGCTCCACAGCACAGTGCGTGTCAGCCCTCCAGAGCTCTTGGAAGTACTGGGTTGATTCCTTGCACATAATTAATAGGTAGATTAGTACACAGCATTTTTGTAGTATTGCTATTTCAATTCTTAAATATTTCCATTACCTTCAAAAATGAAAAACTTTGCAGAGAAGCCTTTCTGTTGTCAGATGTCTTGGCTCTTTGAAACTTACAAGCCAACCCAAAAAAAAAAAAAAAAACTCTTTGCCGGGCAGTGGTGGCACACACCTTTAATCCCAGCACTTGGGAGGCAGAGGCAGGTGGATTTCTGAGTTTGAGGCCAGCCTGGTCTATAGAGTGACTTCCAGGGACAGCCCTGGCTACACAGAGAAACCCTGTCTCAAAAAACCAAAAAAAAAAAAAAAGAAACTTACAAGCTGACCTTTGGCAGTGTTGTGCTTCCTATAAGAATAATGGAAAGAGAGGCTTTAGAGAAAACATGGCAAAGAAAAGTGTATGGAAATGAGTTTCTGATAATCATCTGCCTCCAGTAAAGCAGGTGTCTTCCTGTCACCTGCATGGATACCTGGGATTTCTTTACCTTTAGATGTTGCTGAGATGCCTTTCTTTTTTATATCCTGAGTACCTTTTGAATCGTACCACAAGCTCACTTCATTCAGGTTTTGAGACATACTTTTGTAATAAAAAATATTAAAATCCTTGCCCCAGGCTTCTTCCCTGCCCTTGACCAGATGAGAGACACACTCAGCCTTTATATTTTAAATATGTCTTAGACAGCACAATAGCTGGGCAACTGTCTACCACCATGCCGTTAGAATCTACCTTCTTATCGAAGAACCCCATTATTGCTTTCTGTGCTTGATCTTGCTGCTCTTAGCTCCAATTAGGCAGCTTTCTTTTTCCATCCTGGATGTTGTTCTTCAGTCATGATAGTTACCTCTCTCTCCTCCCTCATGGTCCTCTCCCCCACAAGCCTGTGAAACCTCAACCCCACCTATGTCTCTTTTACCCAGCTGTTGGCTGTCAACATCTTTACTCACCAGTCAGAATTAACTTGGGAGCAGGTTCCCAGGGACTACATGCAGACTCCAGGTCTTGAGGGCCATACTTAGCCCTATCTTAGAGTCTATTCTTGCTCTTATTTTATTCCATTCAAATTTTGTTTCTTCTTAGAGAGACATTTGTAGTTGCGGCCTGTTTTTCCCACTGGAGCATAGGTCACCATTCCTCTATGTGAGGCTTGCAAGTGTCATACCTCATCTCTATTACCACCAGCAGCTTCTTCCTTTCATCCCTTGCTTTGGGAGTATTAGGCTTACTTCCCTAACCACAGTGAGTTAGGTGAGGAGTGTGGTCGATATTCTAGACTAACACAGCATTTTTGAGACAGTATTTCTCATTGTATCCCAGGCTAGTGTGGAATTCATGATTCTTGTGCCCCTGTTGGAATACCCAGTGTTAGATCATTTTGTAAATCCTGGGAAGTAACATACACCTAATTCTATAAACTCCAGAGGCAGAGGATCAAGATTCTTAGGCTAGTCTAGGTGACATAGTGAGGCCTGTCTTTACAAAGAAACAAGCAAGCAAACAAGATATATAGTGCTGGGACTGAAGAGAGAACATACATGCAGGAAAAACACACACACACACACACACACACACACATATATATATATATATATATATAAAATATTTCTGTTTACAAATTATCAATCAGAACTGTTTTTGTGCTGTATGTATGTATGTATGTATGTATGTATTTATGTATATTTGGCAGCTTTCTTTTTTTGAGTGAAAAAGAAATCTTATTGGGGCTTTAACACTCATCATTCAAGGAAAATCAGATATTGAAAATTTTGATGCAGTCACTGTAATGAACCTTTATGAAGTAAGGCTCATGGAGTCTGAACTTTTTTGTATTAATGTGTAAATGTGAGTTTTACAATGGAGAAACAAGTCTTTCCTGAAAAGTCCATTGACAGTGAGTTTAGAAATTGGCAGGCACATGGTAGTTCTGTGTCTATTGACAAGATTAACAAGGTCATCTGCTATATCAGTTCTAAATAAGTAAGGACTATGTTATTTTTATGTTGAATTCTTATTGTGTCAAAACTGATTCTAAAATTAATATAGTGCTATATGCAAAGTACCTTTTATATAAAAATACGCCAAGATGATTGCATTTGTATTTTGATGAGCCTCCTAAATTTAGATAGATGTTCCATAACAAAGCTACACAATGAATATCAACAACAAAAAAGATGACCTGGCTTCTACACGCATGTGCATGCACACCAGCATAGACATTAGCATGTATGTATGTGCACACATAGAAGACCCTGTAGTGCTTGTAGGCGTTTGTATAAATATGCTGAACATGATCAATATTTTGATCCTACAATAAATTAATTTAGTATTTAAAAGTTCAGGTCATAGAGTGACCAGTTACATGTATTTTTATCTTGCAACTATTGTGTAATAAATATATTTTATAACAGTAAGGTTATCCAAGGTAAATGCTAAAAAGCAGTATTATGCATTCTTGCTAATTTAGTTTAGAGGGAAGTAACCCTTGAAAGGCAGTGGTTTTCACATTCATTATGAATGAAGAAAGGCACGCTTATTGTTTGCATCTCTCCATTATCTTTGACATAATACCCTTGATAAACTGTTCATAATCTTAAAGGAAAACACAAATTGCAAAGTAATATGAATGGTATGAGCTTAGGACGTAGCTCAGTTGGTAGAGCGCTTTTCTCGCATTTCTGACTCCATATCCACTGGGAATAGTAGTGAATGCCTGGAATCCATACATAAGAGGCGGGGGCTGGAGGACCCAGAGTTTGGTGTTTGTCCTCAACTATATGAGACTTTGTTTCAAAATTGTGTTGTGTGCATATATGGAGTGGAGTATGTAGGGGGTGCTGGTTTTTTGTTTTGAGACAGTCTCACTAAGTAGCTGTGACTGGTCTGGATCTTGATATGTAGAACAGGTTGGTTTCATCCTTTTGGTTGTGAGCCCAGCCTTTCTTTAGTGGATGAACCTTCTTTCCAGCTACAGGTTGATTTTGAAAGAGATGTGCCTTTGCTTCCTGAATGCTGGGGTTGAAGGTGTGTATCAAGACTCTGGGCCATCAAAGTCCTAATACTGATCATCTGAAACATGTGCAATGCTTACAAACGCTTCTCAGGAAGAACACTAATGCTATCTCTTGTTTTCATTTTCAGAATCTGATATTGATGCTGCCACTGCAATGATACTTTTAAATACTTCAATAGAACAAGAGATTTTAGAATGTAAGCAATCATCCCTTCTTTTTAAAATAAATTTTTAAGTGCTTTTTCAAACTAATGATTTAAAATATAAGATGACTAAGTGTCATAATAGAATCCTTTCTTTCCTACTAAATTGTGTTTTAATCTGAATGACTCAGTTGCTTTTTTTCTTTTTAATTCTATTTTACTTATTTCACTATACATCCTGCTCACTGCCCCGCTCCTGGTCACCATCACCCATAATGACTCAATTTCTATTTCTGTGAACATTTGAGAAAGTAAAATTAAGGCTGTGAGAAATCATTGTGTTAATCGAGAAATATAGGGAGGAAAATGCTTTTCAGATAAACTTGAAGAGCTAAAAGGAAAGATGAAAGCTCAGGTCAGTCCCATGGACCTGTGTGGAGAACTGATTCTCAGGGGTTGTGTCCCCTGACTTCAATTGTGTACATACACATACAGAAAATAATTTTTTAAAGATTGTTTAAATTTTGGAATAGGAGTATCAATGTACAGATTGCAAAGTCTATTAAGAAAAGATGGACAAATTTAATTAAAGATAACAGAGTATGTTTGAGAAAAAAACAGCAAAATCAGGTAGTAGTGCTGAACCCCTGTAGTCTCAGCTCCTAGAGACTGGGGCGAGAAGATCAGGAGTTTAGGCTAGACAATAAGTGTGAGATCACCCTGGGATACCTGAGACCCTGTGTCAAAACAAATGAGTCTGGAAAAAGCTGCAGAGTTCAGCATGAGTTTAGAAGGCTTGCCTAACACATGCCAGGGCCTGGGCAAGTTTGTTCCCCCTCCCTCAGCACCACAGAAAATAAAGTAAGAGAAGTAAGACAGGATACGGAAGAATTCTTCTGAGCTATGTATAGTAGGCAAAAGCTTCATATCGTGCCCGAGTGTTGAAGAGTGCAACAATTATGAAATAAGCAAACAGGACTCACAACTGCCATGCTAGTCCATAGGGAAGAAAAGGCAGAAAGACTGAGCCAGAGGTAGTAGAAATGTGGTGTCTTTCAGACACAGCAGTACTGAAAAGGCTGTACAGGTTCAATACAGACAAATCCCTGCACTAAGAAGAGAATTGGGCACAGAGGCTCACTCCTAACCAAGAAGCTGGTTCATGCTGGAAAGGGGTTCTCTCCAAATGTAGGCCTCATGTCCAGGGGCAGTGTTTTGCTTTATTTTTTATTTTAGTTTTGTCTTATTGTATTTGTTTGGTTTAGTTAATCTATTTTCAATTTTCAGTTTTTGTATTTGTTTTTATTCTGAGGGGGGAGAGAGAGGGAGGGAGAGTGGGGAGTGGGTGGGGAGGAAAATCAGGAAAGGGAAAAAATGTGATAAACCTGTATGGTACTAAAATATATGAATAAGACCATTTTAAAATAAAAAAAAATTAAGAACAGGACAGAAGAAAAGTTAGTAAAATATGAAAATGAGTTTTAAAAGAAGAAATATGGAGGGATGTAAAATAATTAAGATACTATCTTTCAAATACAAATGTAAGTGATTGCTATTATAACATGAAAATAGGTTTGTTTTCCTTCACTGTGGGTTATTACAGGTTAGTTTGACCTCACTTGAATGTAAGATATACTTCCCTTTTTACTCAGAACTTGTGTTTGCTATTCCTCTTACAAATTCTGTGTGTGTGTAAAGAGTATCCAACAAACTTGATTGCTGCAGGGTTATTTGTACAGTGCAAAGTTAGAAACCATGGAAATACTCACAAGGACATTGTTAAGCAGTGGTGTGGTCATATTGAGACATTCTTTGCAAATAGTTTAAAGTAACTTTTATGTTCCATGGAAAGGTCGGGCTGTCTTTCAAAAGGTTTTTCAGTGTCTCAGACTAATGACTATAGATAGAATAAGATACTGGGGAAATCCTACAGAACTACATTCCAAGCTCTTGCTACTCAAAAGTGAGTTTTCAGGGCTCTGCTCGTACAACCAGATGCCTCTGACTTGTTGATTCAAGTTGTGTTTCCCACAGGTGAGAAGCCTCTGCCTCATAAAACATCACTGCAGAAGAAGAGGAGCTACGGCAGCGCCTTCAGTGCCCCCAGTGCTGTGCAGCTTCCGGAGAGCCATTCTGCAGCCTCCAGCATTGACCCAAAAGCAGACCATAATTACAGTGCCAGCAGTGTGGCAGCCCAGCGTTGCGCATCCAGGGCTAGCATGTCTTCCCTCTCTTCTGTAGATGAGGTGTATGAATTCATCCCGAAGAGTAGCCATGGAGGAAGTGATGGCAGCGAAGGCTTCCACAGTGAAGAGGAGACAGACGCTGAGGATGAGGAGGACCCTCTTGGAGACAGTGGCTATGCACCACAAGCTCATGAAGACAGCACTCGGAAAGGACAACCAGGCAAAAAGATTCCCAAACAGTCATGTCAGGAGATTGATGAGGAGCTCAAAGAAGCAGCTGGGTCACTGCTCCACCTTGCTGGAATCCGCACCTGCCTTGGTTCACTAATAAGTACTGCAAAGGCACAGAGTCAAAAACACCGGAAAAAGTAGAAATACTTCTTTCTGAAGTTCTTCTAAAGTGTGGCAATACTCTTCTACTTAACTTTTTACAAGGGATATCAGAGCCATATCGGACCTCTTTAGCTTGAGGGTGGGGGAGGGGTGCCACTTGTTTCTTTCTAAATATTTTTTTGGTTGCTTTTCTTTTTTTTGTTTAAACAGTTGCTCTTAGGATCATGCCTAATTGTAAATCTGACATAAAGGACCCCACAACATAATTTCTGTGAATAAGTGTCTCCCAGATTGAGAAATTTTTGTATAGGAAAATTGGTGGCCTCCATCTTAAACTTGTTGGAAAAAAAAATCTCTTTGTTAATCAGTAAAAAATTGGTAACTTGTATTTTCATTTTTCTTCTCATTCTGCTATTAACTAGTAACTGGCATCTATCTCCTGTGCTTCTCTCCTGACGTAGTACAGAAGGGTGAACTGGGGATGCTTTGTCCTCCCTTGTTTTCAGTTACTCTTTGTCACAGTATGAACATGGCCATATATGAATTGGAAAGATCCAAGATGCCTAGAAGCTATCTGGTTTGTAGAGAATGTAACCGTTCTAAGGATTAGGAAAGGCCATTTGGGGATGTGGCTCATCTCAAGACTCTTAATTCCTCCTGCAATAGTATCTTTGAAATGTTTTACCTCACAGTTAATGTGTAGCATCACTGGGGCCTTTACCCTTTCCCAGAGTACTCTGCAAGTGTTAAAGTTTTAGCTGCTAGCTGTTTTTGTTAAGTAAAAATTGTCTGATGAGAGGATACAGCCAGAGTGTGTCATGAAATAACATTCATCTTGACACACTCGGACAGAAAGAATCTCCCATCTGCTTTCTGAACGTAGTGTAATGAAGATATTATGACATCATAAGTAAAGGAAGAGGTCATTGAAGGCAAAACTTTCCAAGCTTTGTATAATTAAAATTAAATGTGTAATGAATTAGACTTAAAACATTATTAAGTGTTCCTATTAAGGAAAATATAGAGAAATATCTTCAGGGATTTCAAAATGCATATAAAAATTGGATCTTACATAAAACTTTTTGAGAAGGCAATGCAATACCTGTATGTGCCATTAATCCACGCTAAAATATTTTATATTACTATTTCAAAAGTGTATTGGCTAAGATACTTTAAGTATTTGAAACTGCTTATATGAGACAGTTTTCATATCACTTATAGTTTGACTATAGAATTTAGAACAGGGATACTAATACTATAACTCATATATATATATTTTTTTTACAGTGATGGGATAAACTTCGGGAAAGTTTAGTCTTATTTCATGATACATCCTGTATTCTAGACAGCGACCTTTGAATTTTCTCATTTATATGCGTATATATACACTTGCTGTGTGCAAACATACACAGGCTCAGGTTCGTTTCCTGCTTTCAAATGTTTTTATGACTATAAAGAATTTTCTTGGAGTTTTTTAAAGAGACAGATGTTTTTATTTTTACTTCTAAATTTTTTCTGGGCAGTACTGTCAAATGAGAAGAAAAACAAAAGCATACTTGACAACATTTAAGCTATAATACTATTGATACACTCCTGTTTCCCTGTTAGTTGTAATTGAATCTGGATAGCCAAATTAATGAGATTGGTGCTACAAAAAAATATAGACATTTTTCTTTTATTAATAATGCAGGATGAGGAATTTGGAACTTTTTAAATTCATAAATGTTATCTCTCCAGAAAACAGTTAAATGAAGTTATTTTTTACACAGACAGTGAATAAAACACCAAACAGAAGTGTGGTCTTGAAGAGATGGTAGAGTTGATAGCACAGAATTATGAAGCCAATCACCACACCCTTCGGGGTGGCCCTTTACAGGGTCACCGCATGCTGTTCTGAAAGACATGCTATTCTCAAAGGCTCCATCACCTGTATTTCTCTTAAGTCTCTGTGCAATGGGCAAGCTGTTCTGCAAATGGAGGGAAGTGATCTGGAGTATGAGGAAAGAGTTCTCAGCTCCAAGAGAAGGACCTCATCAGAAGTTATCGTTAGGCAGTAACTTAAATTCCTTTCTCTCCTTCAGTGGCCTCTTATTTAAAGCAGCAGCCATTAGCAAGGAAGATCCGTGCCTGTGCTGCTTTTAAGACTGACTAGCAGCGCTCCCTAACAACTTGCACTTAGTTCTCTTACAGGATTCAGTGTCTCACTTTTTATTTGCTGCTGTGTCCAGGCATCCATCTCAAGGGGAGAACCTTCCTAATTTGATTCCTTATGTTCTTGGAAATTATGCTTCTGTTTGGTGTGCTCCAATTGAAGCATAGCTTGGAATCATCCAGTTGAAGAAGTCATCCTGAATTTTATGAGCTAGAAATTCCCAGTAAATAACAAGCTTTGTGTAATAAACACAGCTTAGAAATCCAGGGACACCATACATGCTTCAATAATTTAAAACTGGTTTTAGCTAAGGTATACTTTGTCTTACATCAAAATAAGAACTTTGTTGGAAACAATTCCATTTTTAATGGATTCCTAATAAAAGTTGTGTCTTAGCACTATTAACTTTATTTTCCACATTGCCAAGAGAATCAGTGTTTCTTGAGTATGTCTTTGAAATTTGTTTGTGCAATATATTACTAAAATAGTTGATTTTTTGCTTTCAAATTTAGAGTGAAACATTGCCTAGATCAGTAGAAACGCCTTTTCTGTTCTCATAGCCAGCTCGACTTCTCTTAACTCAGATTCCTTTATATATTGTAAAGTTCAGCATATGTTCTCACTGCTTTCTGAGGCATTATGTAAAGGGTTCATACTAGATGGTCAGTTAAGTACGAGTTAGCATAGTTCAAAGCTAGAGCAAGTGTTGAGGGAGTGCTTGTGTGTAGTAGACTGGAGGCCTTTTCAGCAGTTTAGGCTGTTGTCTCAGATGGCAGCACCTTAATGCCCTTTGAATCTGTATAAAGCAACTTTTGAGGCTTTCTGGTTTACATATATGTCGTGGGTTTTTTTTAGTTATTATTTTGAAATGTTTAAGTTTTAATTAAAGTTTACTCCAGTGTGTTAATGATGTAATCAAATATTTATTGAAAGGCAAAATAGAATATTTTAATGTTATCCCTGCCATTTTTTCAAGAATATTCTTTGCATCTAACTGCCAGTGCCATTGTCAAACTTGTTTTCAAAATTGTTGTACTTGTTTTTATTAAACAGAGTGCTTAATTTTAAAGTATTATGTTGCCATCGTATAGTGTATAGAATGTATAATTGCCAATTCATTGTAACTTATTTATTTTTAAACTAAAGTATAAGAATACCTTTTGATTAGAGAAATTTGTTATTAAAATTGTTTTCTCTTTACTGATGTAGCATAAAAACTTGTGAGTTTAACTGCCAATAGATGACCAGCCACAAGTGAACCACTTCTCAGTTGCCAGCCTTGCTTAATAGCAGAAACAACTTACAAACGTTTAGTTTTTGTATCTAATCTCTGACTATTAAAATGTTTATAAAGTTTATTTTTACCAAAGAGATACAATTCATTATGATAAAGTTGCGAAATAAACGTCATTTTATAACATTTTTGTGCTTTCTGTTATTTGTGAGTTTTTAATGTTAAATAGTTTAACTTTTATTAACATTTATATATATTTAATATGTTACATAATTTGATCTTTGTGTGTGTGTGTGTGTGTGTGTGTGTGTGTGTGTGTGTGTGTGTGTGTTAAGGTCCCACTACATAGCCCTAGTGACTGTTGAACTCAAAATCTTGCAGCAGCCATGTTAAAGCTTAGAGGCATATCGCCGTTACTCTAGGCTGAAGTTTTGTTACTTATAGTGTGTGCAAGTGTGTACATGTATGAGTGAGAGAGAGAGAGATTAGGATTATTGGCATTTGTATGAAGATAGGGGAACTAGAGGTAATTCCAAATAGTTATTGGCACTTTGAAAAGCAATACGGACATTACTCAAGAAATTAAAAATAAGGTTATATGATCAAGTTTGTGCCCTGCAACACATACTCAAAAGAATATGTTTGGAGGAATGAAACCATCACTATCTTGATCAACTCCATTTGGCCACTCTCTGATCCTTTTTTAGTGCCCGTTCCCCTGTTGCTCTTAGGTCTCATGGCAAGCTTACCAGGGCAGATGAGAGCAAAATGGGAAGAATCACAACATGGCGATGCTGCCCCTCAGAGCAAGACCTTTTTTGTTTGTTTGTTTGTTTTTTGTTTTTCGAGACAGTGTTTCTCTGTGTAGCCCTGGCTGTCCTGGAACTCACTCTGTAGACCAGGCTAGCCTCGAACTCTCAAACGCAGAAATCCGCCTGCCTCTGCCTCCCAAGTGCTGGGATTAAAGGCGTGCGCCACCACTGTCCGGCAGAGCAAGACTTCTTATCTCATGGAACCAGATTGCTCCCCTCAGTGATGACAGTCGTAGCAAGTTTGATAGATCCCCTTGCAGAAGCAGATGGAGATATTGAGTCTGACCACTATGCTGGGCAAAACCACATGCTCCAGCAGGCCTGCCTGCTCCCTTCTGATCTGTAAAATCTCAGTTAGCAACTTGGAGACAGATTTGGGAGGGTGTCACTAAACCTTTCCCTGTTTCTCCTAATCTGACCACATCGTGCCTTTAATAGCTACTCATGTCTGATGTACTGGGACAAGTGGGTAGGAGTCCTCAGTAGACACTTGCAAAACTAGGGCTTCTGGCCTAGAACACTGACAACATTGACAGTGACATTCGAGAGCCACTTCTAGATAGCAGCACATTGTCCATCAGCAGGTGAGTAAATAGGGAAAATAGGAAGCATGTAACAAAACATTCCTCCTTAAAAGGAAGGAGATGTAACACGCTACACTGGGGACAATGTGAAGTCGTGCTACATTGAATAAGCAAGCTACAATGTAAAATACTGAGTAATTCCACTTACACGGTCTACCTGTAGAGGATATAGAGACAGAAGCATGGTTGCTAGGAGCTTAGAGAGAGTAAAGGGGCAGAGTTGTTTAATATGCTCAGAGCTTGAGTTTTACAAAATGGAAAGTTTTGGAGATTGGTTCCACAACACTGAATGTTCCTAACACTACTGAGTAATGCTGTTTTAAACGAACAAATTAGTAAATTTTACATACATTCTACCATAATTTAACTTTGGGTCTTTTAAAAATACAATAGTAAGTAAGCCATGGGAAGACACAGCGGGCAAATCTTAAACTAAGTATCTTATTAAGTACAAGAAACCAATCTGCAAAGATTATTGTTGTATTCCATCAATATGACATTCTGGAAAAAGCAGAACTATGAGAAGACGGTCAGATCAGTGGCTGGGGGTTATAAGTATCCATCTGATATAAACAACTGGATAAACTCACCAATGAGGATCAGAGGCAATCTTTCAATTGGTAGGTAATGGAAGCAGAGCCAGTTTCCCACCTGCGGGGTATGCTCAATCACTTCCTTCCCAAGCCTTTGCCGGGCCAAAGAGAGCGGCTGGGAGTGAACATCTTCACAATGCAAAAAAGTCTGACCAGCACTGCTTCAGACAGGCTGTCTAAGCAAACTAAAACACTCATAGCCACATTCTTAGCACTGAGTATTGATACATTATAAACATTGACTCCTCGTCTGCTCTCTACCTTCCCAAAGCCATAATCTAATCATGAAAATGATTAGCTCTGGGCTAGAGTGCTTGCTCAGCATGGGCCCCCTGGTTCAAGTCCCAATATGAAAGGAAAAAAAGAGATGGAAAGGAAAAGGGGGGATGACGGGGTAGAGAGAAAAAAGAGCTAAGTTCCTGCTAATTGTAAGGATACATGAAGCCATTCTCTCTCTTTTTGTTTTTTTTTTTTTTTTTTCTCGGTTCTCCGAGACAGGGTTTCTCTGTGTAGCCCTGGCTGTCCTGGAACTCACTCTGTAGATCAGGCTGGCCTCGAACTCAGAAATCCACCTGCCTCTGCCTCCCAAGTGCTGGGATTAAAGGCGTGCGCCACCACCGCCCAGCATGAAGCGATTCTCGAACACACTTGTGATCCCATTCACATGGTGTGTCTTAGTTATTTCTAAATTGCTGTGATATGACACCATGAATGTCTTGGTTAGGGTCTATTGCTGTTACGAGACACCACAGCAACTCTTAGAAAACATTTAATTGGGGCTGGCTTAGCAGTTTCAGAGGTTTAGTTCATTATCATGGTGGGAAACATGGCAGCATGCAGGCAGACACGGTGCTCATAGAGCTGAGAGTTCTCCATTTTGTTTTGCTGGCAGCCGAAAGGGACTATCATACCAGGCGTGGTTTGTGTATATATGAGACTTCAAAGCCTGCCTCCACAGTGACACACTTCCCCCAGCAAGGCCACACCTACTTCAACAAGGCCACACCTCCTAATATTGCCATTCCTGGGAGGAGGAGGGGCAATTAATTCAAACTACCACAATGACCAAGGCAACTTACAGAAGAAAGTTTATTAGAGTCTCAACCATTTCAGACGGTTAGAGCCCACGCTGGTGGAGCAAGGGCATAGTGTATGAGAGCTGAGAGCTCAGTTCTTGATCCGAAAGTAGAAGGCAGAGCAAGAGCACAATCAGAATGACTCAGGGTTTTGAAAACCTGGCATCAGTGACATGTGCTTCAACACAGACACACCTCCTAAACCTTCTTAAGCAGTTCCACATGAGGCTGTAGGGGACTTTCTCACTCAAACCACTACACATGGAACTTTTAAAGACACAAATCTAGTCCTTTGTAACATAACAGAATCCAGAAAGGCAATTGTCTAGGGCCAGGGTCTGAGGGACAAAGAAAGGTGAAAGAACAAAATATACAGAAAGGAGAGAGCTTCCGGGAATCTGCTTTGGTCCCCTATTTTCAGTTTTCTAAGATTTATTTTTCTTTATTTTGTGTGTATGGGTGTTTTGCATGCATGTATATCTATGCACCACATGAATGAGTTGCCCAAGGATGCCTGAAAAGGGCTTCAAACCACTGAAGTTACAGAGGGTTGTGAGTTGCCACATGGCCATGAGGAACAGAACTCGCATCCTGTGGAAGTGCAGTATACACACTCAACTGCTGAGCCATTTCTCCAGCCCTTCTTCCCTCTTCTTTTTTTTTTTTTGGGGGGGGGGTGTTCGAGACAAGGTTTCTCTGTGTAGCCCTGGCTGTCCTGGAACTCACTCTGTAGACCAGGCTGGCCTCGAACTCAGAAATCCACCTGCCTCTGCCTCCCAAGTGCTGGGATTAAAGGTGTGTGCCACTACGGCCTAGCTTCTTCCCTCTTTTTTAAAGACTGGTTTTATTTTATGTGTATGAGTGTTTTGTATGAATGTACACTGTGGGTCTCCCCACCCCCATGGATGGTCTGCCAATTCGATCCACAAAGGCAAAGGGAGAAGTAGTGAGGTGTAGGGATGGGTTTGAAAGCCTTGTGAGTACGCTTGGTGAATGACCATGCAGGGACCGCTTGTCAGTATGCAGATCAACTTCACTTAGGGTGATTGAAGGTTTATAAGCTTTTTGGGCACTGAGGATAGGGACATCCAGGATGGACAAAGGTTATTGGCTGGGGATTTAGGGTATCTGGAATGCCTCTATAGCATGGGGAAACAATTGAGCACTTCTCAGGTGCTGGCTGATCAGGTTTTGTCAGGAGAAAGGAAATTGATACTATAAACTAATTGAGGCTGCATGACATTCCTTGGGTAGAGGCAAGTATGGGGGCTTAGAATTCCCTGGGCAAGGTCAGATAAAGAGAAGCCCTGTTAACCAGAAGGGAGTCTACCATATTTCACCAAGCTCAAAGGCTATCTGGTCATGGTGGACTATATTATCAGAGTTTTCCCACAGTACACCACAAGCATGCCAGGGGCATGGGGATCCTAAGAGAGGGTCAGATGCCTGGGAATGGGAGGTAAGGGTAGTTGTGAGCCACATACCTGGGCACTGAACCCTCATCTTCTAGAAGATAGCATTCTAGTCCCCATATTGATTTTTTAAGACTTGTTATTTATGTATGCATATGCTTCTACATGAAAATGTGCACGTAGGTACTCACTGCAGGTCAGAAGAGGGCTTTGGATCCATGGGAATGTGTTACCAGGTCTTTTGTGAACTAGGAACTATGTAAGTGCTGGGAACTGAACCAGGGACCAGACAGAGCAGTAAGTGGTGTTAAACCACTCAGGCATCTCTCCATCTCCCAATCTGAATTACTTTTTGAAGGGTAAGGGGTGTTGTTTGGTTGTTTCTTTTTTTGGGGGGGGTGTTTGGTTTGGTTTTTCAAGAGATAATTTTTCTGCGTAGCCCTGGCTGTCTTGGAATCCACTCTGTAGACCAGGCTGGCCTTGAACTCAGAGATTCTCCTGCCTCTGCCTCCAGAGCACTGAGATATAAGAAATGCAGCACAACCACCTCCATCTGAAAATGCTTGGTAATTCAAAGTATAAGTGTATTTCTGTGACCTGGTTTCTGTGTACATGGTCTTCCCTCTTTTTAGATGAATGTCCTCAGGAAACACACGACCAGCTTTAATTCACATTAAGAACAAGCTGGTTATTCAAGCAAGAAATACTG